ACTATTTTTCGGAGATAGATCACAATTGGCTTCTGACATATAGCTTGCAAGGAGTTCAAAGAATTGAGGAATGTCACTGTTCTGACATCCATTGGGTTTATTTAATTGTGCGAACACATTTTCTCCATGCTCGCATGAAAAGAGAGCGAGAAAGGGGACTTATTCGTTTTTCCCTGGGTATCTCCTATGCATACAAGAGACATACATGTTAATAAACTTCTACTTGTTTTTCTCTTGTTTTGAGAGAGAGAATGAGGGGAGAGAGGAAGGAATAAATTTTTTTAAAACAAAAATAAACATAAGAGACTACCAGAACTATTTTACGCCAAAAAAATTTTTAATAATTTATGTTTTTTAATTTACAATTAGCATATAATGTTAGTTTAAAGTGCATAACATAGTGATTAGACATTTATATTACTTACAAAGTGATTATCCTGATAAATCTAGTACCCATCTGACACCGTACACATTCGTTGCAATATTATTGGCTATATTCCTTATGCTGTACTTTATATCCCCATAACTATTTTGTAACTACCAATCTGTACTTCTTAATCTTGTCCCCTTTTTCACACACCCACAACCCCCTCCCATCTGCAACCATCAAAATATTCTCTGTATCTATGAGTTTGTTTTCTGTTTTGTTTTGTTCTTTAGATTCCACGTGTAAGTGAAATTACATGGCATTTGTCTTTGTCTGTCTGACTTACTCCATTCAGCACAAAACCCTCTAGGTCCATCCATGTCATTGCAGATGGCACTATTTTATTCTTTTTTATGGCTGAGTCATATTCCATCATATATATGTACCACCTCTTCTCTATCCATTCATCCATTGATGGATACCCAGGATGCCTCCATATCTTGACTATTGTAAATAATGTTGCAATGATCATATGCATTCACATGTCCCTTCAAAGTCGTGCTTTGGGTTTCTTCAAATAAATAGCCAGACATGGGATGACTGGGTCCTTCACTGTCTCTTGTGATAGCCTTTGTTTTAAAGTCTATTTTGTCTGGTATAAGTATTGCTACCTCAGCTTTTTTTACTTGTTTGTTTCCATTTTTATGAAACATATTTTCCATCCCTTTACTTTCAGTCTATGTGTGTCTGTCAATCTGAAGTCAGTCTCTTGCAGGCAGTATATGTAAGGGTCTTGTTTTCTGATCTGTTCAGCCACATTTTCTTTTGACTGGAGCATGTAATTCATTTACATTCAAAGTAATTGTTGCTAGATAGGTAGTTATTGCCATTTTCATATAAAATATTATTCATATTTTATATCTGTTTTCTTTTTTTCCTTCTTGTCAAAGAAGTCCTTCTAACATTTCCTGTAATAATGGGTTGGTGGTGATGAACTCCTTTAGCTTTTTCTTGTCTGAGAAGCTCTTTATGTCCTTTGAGTCTAAATGATAGCTTCGCTCGGTAGAAGAATCTTGGTTGTAGCCAATTTTTTTTTTAATTTTTATTTTTCAATTAGAGTTAACAGTCAATATTATTTTATGCGAAAAATTTTTTGAAAAATAAATTAAGTCGACAAATTCCTAATAAAAATAAGCAAAATAGTTAAAGGGCTATTGCTCTTCAGGCAAATGAAAAGAAACTCAGTCAAAACTGTGGCTTTCAACTCTGGAGTTCACGAAGCTCGGATTTTTAAAAAAATGACTCTGGTTATACAATTTACAATATTGATGAAAATTTTCTATAAAATAGCAGTTGAAGGAGGAAGCATTTCCAGTGATCTCCACGACTGCCCGAAAATTCTAAAAAGGTCTATTTTAATGCAAAATTGATTTAATGCCACACATGATTTTTGAAAAATATAGTAAAATACACATTCTGGAGGGGGGTTGATTGAGAACCTCTGCTCTGTCTCCCTGGAGTGTCAGCTCCCTCTCTCTGAGGCCCCCCACCCTCAGGCTCCTGGACACCCCCTCCTCCATCCTCCTGCAGTGTTGGGGTTCCTGCAGCCTGCGACCCAGGTCCTCTCCTTGCTCTCTCTGCTGGGAGAGTCCAGCCATTCTCTGGGCTTCGAATGCCACTGTTTCCGGAAGCAACATCCGATGGAGGAATTTGGACGCTCAGACAACTTTGATAGAGGAGGGAGAATTTATTAGCCGGCGGAGCACATGGGGCTTAACGGCACCAAAGCACGAGCTCCCCCTGATTGAATTTCTTACAGTTTATATATCTTTGCAACGTCCATGCACGGGGCACGTGATTCCTTTGTCTGAGGTTGTACGTGCACCTCGTGACTCAGGATGGGGAGGGGGAGTTTGGGGTGGGGGCTGCAGCGGGGAAGGAATTCCCAGACCACTGGCCCTATCTATGTACAGATTATTTGTCTTCAAGAGTGTCCAGAAGGCCATTGAGAGATCTATAGGATGTGGTTAATCTATAACCAGCTGAGTCGGTCATTTCTGCAATCCCTCCCCTTTGCATTTTTCAGATGCCTCCTCTCCTCTCTTACCACAGTCTGTCCACTAAGGACTCCCAACCTTATGCCCACCGCCCAGATCTGGAGTCATCTGGACCCTGCCTGCCTCCTTCCCACTCCAGCTGCAGGGGCCTTGCTGGGTGTCTATCACTCCGGTCTCGGGAAAGGCTATTTCCTCACCTGGAATATTTGCTCCCCTCTTTCCTCCCAAGTCCTGCCCCTCCTCGAAGTGAGAAACTAATGTCGGGAGGAGGCAAGAGGACTAAAATGTTCAATCAAGCCACATTCAGAGACTGCAGTGTGCTGGTCAGCCCTGCAGCCAGCGGGGGAGGTCACCTGCAGAACACAGGGAGATTTCTGCTGGGATCCTTAACAGCCCATTCTCCACACCGGTAAAAGGGAAACAGAGTCTTGAAGTTGCCGCCCTACGCAAAATACAAAAATAAAATCGTTCCTTCCCTATGGCTAAAACCATGGGCAGCCTATGCTTCACAGGCTGGGAATGGCCAGCAGGCCTTCCAGGCTCCATATTCTTACCCTTCCTCACTGTACGTCCATATCAGAGAAAAATGGGTAAAGTCTTTAAACTGTTAATTCACGGGAACTAAGGAATGATATATAAGGAAACAATTCCCTGAACACTCGGGGTCCCTCTCAGTGCCTTTACCCTGTCTCTCTCACTGTCCTCATGTCTCTCTCTATTGTCTCTGTCCCTCTGAGTCTCTCTCAGCCTCCCTCACTTCTGCCTCTGAGAGGAGACCACACTGTCTGTGGAGAGCTAAGTTCCCGCGTCTCTAATAAACTTTCCTTTTGACTCTGACTTTGGCGTGTGAGTTGAATTCTTTCTTCGCTCTCTGCCAGAGGACCCTCCTCTTCTCTCCGAGTGGGGCTTGCTCTCCCCTCCACTTGGGGAAAGTTGCCCTGTCCTCGTCAACCCGAGCTTCGCCCTGCCAGGCCGGGCCACAGAGCTCACAGGCACCAACTCTGGGCACCAACTCTGGGCGGACGTCAGGATCTGAGGCCCGGTGCCCTGGGGCCGCCAGTGCTTGGCACAGGCAGATGGGCCTTCTGCATTTTTGTGTGGATGCCCCAGGCAGCCACTCCTTATTCTGAAAGCTGGAGCACTGTTGAAATAAAACACGAAATTAAATGCAGAAGGAATTTACGTTAGATTTGGAGACACGGGTGCATAAAGGGAAATACGACTTCCCCAAAGTAACCCCAGGAGCCAGTGACCTTCTGAACCTGGGCAGGGCCTTTTGTGGGCTCTCTGAGGGTGGGGTCTCACTGTGTAGAGAGGCGGAACCAGTCCAGGCTGGTTCCAGCAGCAGACCTGGCAACACTAAGTAACCTTAGGAGCTTCTGCAGATGGAGGCGAAGGAGACCAAAGTTTTGCCGCCCTGAAGCTGCTCTTTGGGACATCGATTTTAAACTGTTTGTCAAGTAATAAGACTCCGAGGGGATCTTTGAGCCTCTCCCACGCTCCTCCGCTTTCCTGCCCAGGAGATTCAGATAGAAAAAACCTGCGTAGGGAAGGGAGCCCGGCTTCACCACGTTAAGAATCCTCGCCCTCGCTTAGAGCCCAAGCCTGTTAGCTGGACCCTCCCCGGGTCATTTGTCTCCGAGTTGCCAGCAGGAACTTCCCAGCCAAGTACGTTCCGTCTGTCCCTCAACCACCTGGAAGTCGCCCATTCCCGCTTCTGGAATCTAATACCCCGTCGCCCCCCCATTTCTCCTTTGTCCAGATATGTCTTAAGTACCACAATGCTGCCTCGCGTCTTTGGAATTTTCATGCTTGTGTAGGTTCCCCATGCGCATGTATTAAAATTTTGATTTTCTCCTCTTGCTGTCTCTGGTAATTCGATTATTAGCCCAGCTAGAAGAATTCAGAAGGTGGGAGTATTAACCAAAAACAAAACAAAACAAACGAACAAAAGAACAAGTTCGGCTGTTCACTGCTGGAAAGCCAATGAGAGAAAGAGACAGACAGAGTTGGGTGGAGAGGGAAGGGTGCTTCATTCAGGAAGCTGGCTGCCCCAGAAGCTGATCCACGTCCAAACGCCACCTCTGAAGTTCGGGACCCAGCAGAGGAGTTTTAAAGGGAGGAAGGGGAGGGAAGGTTCCAGGGAACAGAGAGAGTCTGTGTTCCTTTAGTCACAGATAACGCCTTTTCCTATCAGGCTCCTGGGCGTCAGCCGCCGGTTGCAGGTCCCTTGAGGACATTCTTTTCTTCTGCAAAACAAACTCGTAAATCCTCCTCAAGACCCTGAAGTTATCTTCTCCTGCCTGACAAAGAAAGGGCACGTCAGCAGCTTAGGAGACATTCACACATGCACGAGAACAGGAGTGGAGCCAATAGAGCGGTTAACACGGGAACCAAGGCCTAATTAAGCGTTATTTCATTCTGGCTGCCAAAAATACTAGGGGCATTAAAATCACTCGGGGCTCAGCTACGGGAGCAAAAGTATCTTTTTTTTTTTTTTTTTTTGCCCCCACGATAGGCTGGCTGGGAGTGGGGGCCCAAGAGGGCCGGGCAGGACCTGGAAGTGAGGAGCTGAAGGAAGAAAGGGAATTCTTTCTCTGCAGTCTTTGGACTTTTTAATGAGCCCATAATCATTTACTACTCGTGTAATTGAATTTCTGTGGAAAACTATAATGGAGATAATGGCACGGAGCTGGGCTGTTTGAGGTGTGGGTGCCATGCCTGGCAGAAACAGGCACCCAGAACAGGACGCCAGAGAACTGTGACCTGCCCACTGGTTTGACACTCTGCCAGGATTGGCCATTAATCATGCGACGCCCGTTAATCCTCCGAGGGAGGTACTAATATACCGTCCCATCTTACTGTCTAGAAACTGGAATAACTGGGAGGGTAGGTCACCTGCCCAAGGTCACAGGGCTCCTCAAGGCCAGCGTGGGACTTGACCCCAGATAGCTCCTGGACACACTTGGCAGAAGGTAGGGGGAGGGTTATCATCGGTCTCTCTCGGGCTCTTCCCCTCCCCCTCTCTCTCTCCCATCCTGCCTCCTCCCCCGCCCCCCGCCCTCCCATTGCTCCAGCCCAGTGACCAGTGGGGCGGAGGGCGCCCCTGGTGGAAGCGGTGTGTTAGTGGAGGGAGGCTGCGCCCAGCGCGGGTCCTACCAGGACGTGGAAGGGTGGGGGTCAGAGCTGGGGTGACGTGTTCGCTTTATCACAGTCTAGAGCAGCCACTCCCTACGGAGCAGGTCGGGGGCCTAGGAATAGAGCAAAACAGCCCCCTCCCCCAAAGCGAGAGAGAAGGAGAGGGACAGGAGTGAAGAAACGACCCCTCCCCCAACGACTCATACTTAAGAGCTGTGCGACCTTGAGCCGGATACCTTAACTCTCCTCTGCCCTCATCTCATCAGATGCAGATACGTTAGCACCTCCCTCAAAGCACACGTGGGCGACGGCATCGATAAGGAGAAAATTCTGAGATGTTCTAAATGAAATTACAGAGGCCGGAGAACGTGAGAAAGAGAAAGAACCGTTAGTCCGTTAACGGCTGCCGGCCAGATGACAGAAGACTGCCCACATTCCTGTGGACGCTGTTGGCACTTGGGACGGACTTACAGGTGGCTTAGATCGTTTTAGCCAGGCACCACCCACCTCCAGCGCCGCCTGCTTGCTCGCCCGCGGGCAGGAGCGAACACTTCTTCATGTGGACTGGGAGCTGGACTCGGAGCTGGACCCCTTCGCCTTCTCCCACCCCTTTGCCCACAGCTAAAGTAAATTTCTTTCAAACGAACTCTTTCTCCCCACTTTCCCCTACTTGATGTATAAAACTGCTTTCAAAATTCTGGTAATGCAGGGAGGAGGCAAGAGAATTAAAATGTTAAATCAAGCCACATTCGGAGACTGCCATGTGCTGACCAGCCCTGCAGCCAGGCCACGAGGTCACCTGCAGAACACAGGGAGATGTCTGCTGGAACTAAGAGCCCCTTCGCCACACCTGTGAAGAGGGAACAGGAACCAAGAGTCACTCCCTGTGGTTAAAACCACCGAGAATCTAAGGATTAAAGGCTGGGAACTGCCCGCAGGCCTTTCACGCTACACATTCTTACCTTTTCACACTAGACTCTTCCCCTTCCTCACTGCATGTTCCTATCAAAGGAAACGGGTTGACAAAGTCTTTAAACTGTAAGTCACAGGAATTGAAGAATGACACAGAAACTGAATTCCCTGGACACTCAGGGCCCCTCTCACTGTCTTCACTCTCACTGTCCTCTCGTTGCTATTGTCCCTCTGAGCTGCTCTCAGGCCCTCATTCTGTCTCTGAGAGAGACCACCCTCTGTCTGTGGAGTGTTACCCCTTCCCTAATAAACTATTTTTTTGACTATGACTTTGGCGTGCGTTTGAATCTCTTTCTCCGCCAAAGGACCCTCTTCTCTGAGAGCGGGACTTGGTCTCCCCCCATTCGAAGGAATTTGCCCTGTCCTGCGTCACTGGGACGATGGACCTGCTGTCTCTGCCCCCTAGCCATGCTGCTGGAAGACCCCCAAAGCCGGTCTTCTTTTGGGCTAGCATTTTGGGCTCAATAAAACCTTACTTTAAAAAAAGACCTCAGTCGTGAAAGTTAAATTTTTATTTGTGAGATACCCAAAGGGGGGCTCCCTGACCCAGGCAGGGGTGGGAGACGAGGGCTCGGGCTTCCTATTTACCGAGGCCCTAAAGCTTTGGGGGTCCAGAGAGCGGAAAAGCCCAGCGGCTGCTTTCCGGGCTCACCAAGGGGTTGCGCGCAGGCCACAGTGCGGAGTCAGCGGCGTTACTGGCGTGACCGCGCTTGACCATTACTCCGTCCTAAGAGGCAGGCACTGTCGTGAGCCCCATTTACAGATGGGGAAGACTGAGAAGCTGGATAACTCAGCCAAAGTCACACAAGGAGACGTGACAGTGGCGGGGGCGCAGCTGGATTCCGGTAATTCCTGTTTCCAAGCCCGAGACCCCGCCCTCCGAAGCTCCAGCTCGGCCTCGCATTCCTCTTCATCCCATCCCCCCGGACATTTCCTGTGCCTTTTGAATGCAGAACCATTAAGCTGCCCTGCCATCTGCCAAACCTTCCCCCCAAGATGCTGCCCTCCTCCCCTCTTCCACGCCACCATCCCGCTAAGCCACATATTTTCATTGAACAAGACCGTTCTTGCCCTACGAGAATTCCGAAGCCAGCCTGGTACATCTTCATCCCACTAAATATCGGTGTCGTCCCAACCAGGTGCAGTGTGAGGCATAGGCACCCAGGGGTGAGGAAGATGGGCCCTGTTCCCGCCTTCATCCAGCTCTGGGCTTGGAGGAGCAACCAGCGCCAGACAAAGGATCACAGATGTGCGGTTGAAAGACCCAGATGGCTGCAGGAGGGAGGGTGGATGGGGGAGGTGAGCCTGCAGGCCTGGGGGCCTGGAGCTGGGGGAGGAAAGAGGGATGCGCCCAGGTGGGCGGGGACTGGGCTGGGCCGGGCCCCTGCGGAGGGCAGGAGGGAGCCTTAAAGCCAAAGGCTTGGGGAGGCCGGAAGGAAGAATCAGAGCCCCATGACTCAGGCATTTGAAATGAGGAAATTCACAACCAAGAGATAGATGCAGTGCTGTCTCTAAGATAAGAAGCCGGAACAATATAGAGACTGGTCCGTAGGGGAAGTGGATGGAGATGTTCTGTCAAAGCCATTCCATGAAATACCTCCCAGGAGTTGAAACAAATGAACCACAGCCGCGTGTATGGATTTGAGCAATCTATTTAAACTGAGGGAAAAAATGCCAGTTGCAGAAAGATAGGCGTGTGCTGTGTACTGCCTTGTGCGTAAAGTTTAAGCCTGCAAAAGAACATTTTCCCAAATATTGTGCGTGGATGCACAAAGATGTAGGAAAGGAATAAAAAGGTATCTTGAAATATTAATAAGAAAGTGGTTGTCCTGGAGGAGGCAGGCAGGCAGGGAGGGAGGACTATGACATCTGGGAGGCGACACAGGAAGCCCCAAGACAGTCAGAAATAATTTCTCTAAAGAAATAAATGGTAAAAATGATAAGATATAACAAAGATAGGTGTGTGCATGCACAACTATCATGACGATTCCTCTAAACCTATCCTGTCTCTGTATTTGAAGTAATTATTTTTAAAACAGAAGGTGGGGGGGCGGGGTTAGGAACCAGATGATGATCAGACAGACAATCGGAGGGGAGGGAAAAAGCCATCGCAGGGAAGAGCTGCAATTTTATATTCCTCAGCCCTCGGCTGCCTTCCTGATGTGAACTTGTGTAGGCACGCGCGTGTGCGCGCGCGCACACACACACACACACACGCACGCACATGCAGTATGGTAAATAGAAAGTATTAGAAAAAGAGAATGGGGTGAGGGCGTGGGGTAGAGTGGGTGAGAGGATGGATGAGGGCGTGGATGAGGGATGGGATGTGGGGACAGCAGCAAGAGACTAAAAAAAATTGCTGCCTTGCAGCCTGTGACATAGTCAAGTCCCCAAGTGACTTACAGCCCGGGATGCTCTGAGATTCTGGGGAAGCCACAGGCCGGGGGTAGCAGAAAGGAAGCCAGGCTCATCTTAAACTTCCGCTTTGCCCAGTCTCGGTGCCGGGTGGGGTGGCTTTGAAAGAGGGAAAGGAGAGAGACTATGATAAGCAGAACTGGGAAGAGAAAGTTGGAGGTGGGGGAGGCGTGGGCCGAGGAGCAGCCCGCCATGGCTGCTTCCTCAGACTGCCAGTCCAGTTCTAGAACCAGAGGCTTAGAAGATCCCAAGGAAAGTAAACTCCCCAGCAACTGCCAGAACCCGTCACTCAGCCTGCTGGGCGGCAGCCTCCACGGTAGTCTAAGAAAATCCTTGGTGGGAGCTTAAATGTAAAGAGTCACTCTGGCCCCACCCAGCCCAGATCACAGAGCATCTGATGGGAAGTAGCAGGTAGGGGATAGAGGGGGTCAGCTGTCAGCTGCTGAATAAGATGTGTGGGCATCTCCCCACCAGGGAATAGGAGAGGCCAGGATCCACCAGTGATGACTCAGTTCCCACTGTTACACAGAAAACCACAGGCCCAGAACGGCATCGCTCATGCTAAAGTCCACTGTACCCGGAGTTAACATGTGACCTAATTGCAGTTTCAGCCTCCCCCAGAAGCATAATCTCATCAACCCGGCTGGAATACTCTGGTCCAGCACCAGAAAGTTCATCTGTCACATGGGCCCTTTCTATCCACCCCAGAGAGAAGAGGCAACCAATCTACAGGATTAAACTCTTCCCATTCTCTTCCCCCAGAGAAAAGAGGTCCCAGCCCCCCAAATAACCCTATCTTTCCTTTTAAAGCAGGGAAGCGGCAAGAGAATTAACAGGTTGATCAAGCCACATTCAGAGACTGCAAGGTGCGGATCAGCCCTGCAGCCAGGCCGGGAGGTCACCTGCGGAACACAGGTGGGACCAACAGCCCATTCCCCACACCTGTGAAGGGGAAAGGGAACCCAGAGTCATTCCCTGTGGCTAAAACCATGGGGACCCTATGGATTAGAGGCTGGGAACTGCCAGCAGGCCCTTCGCTCTACATATTCTTACCTTTTCATGCTACAAACCCTTCCCCATTCTTCACTGTGTGTCCGTATCAAAAGAAATGGGGACTGAAGAGTGGTATATAAAATGAATTCCCTGAACTCAGGGTCCCTGTCGACGCCTTTACTCCATCTCTCTCTCACTGTCCCTCTCACTCTGTCTCCGAGAGGAGACCACGCTCGGCCTGTGGAGTGTCACCCCTTTCCTAATAAACTTTTCTTTCGACTCCAACTTTGGCGTGTGTGCTTAATTCTTTCTTCACTCTCCGCCACAGGACAGGACCCTCTTCTCTCGGACAGGGCTTGGTCTCCCCCACACCACCTTGGGGAAGTTTGCCCTGTCCTGTGTCACTTCTGTCTGTAGCTCCCCTGCCCCACCCTGCTTCCTATAAAAAACTTTCATTTCGTAAAACCCTTTGGCACACCCTTCTAGATGCTAGGTGGGATGTTCCCTGGTTCATGAATGGCTTCATTAAAGCCAACTAGATCTTCAAATTTACTACAAATTTGAAGATCTAATTGGCTTTAATGCAAACAAATTTGAAGATCTAATTGGCTTAAATGCAAACAAATTTGCATTTTGTTTTTTAACACCACGAGGTTTCTGATTCCATCTCCTCCTGCAAAACTGCTCCTCCAGCTTCCCCCCCAAAACTAGTCCCCCCCACCCACCCCCTACGTGCCTTCCCTCAATTGCTTCCTCACCTCTGTAAAAGGCACCATTTTTCGACTTGCCTTGGACAAAAATCTCAGCTCAGGGGGAAAAAAAAATTGGTTTCACTAGAAAACATATCCTTCTGGGTTATCAGATTCCAACTGTGTTCACTGTCTTTCCACGATACTGCAGCAGTGTTTTGGAATCACGTCTCTCCCCACTTAAGACCAGAATTGTTTGCATTTGACATAGTCGACCTTGAACCCTTCCTCTGTCCTTCACCCCAATGTGTCAGCGAATCCTGCTGGCTCTACCTCCAAACGTATCCTAAATTTATGATTTCATTCCCATCCTGCTGGGAGCCACTGTCATCACTTGCCTGGACCTTGCTTGCTCTAGACGCTTCCCCTTCCCTGCTCCCGGTCCCCACCATTCCTTCACCGAAGGGCAGCCAGAAAGGTTTTTTTAAATGCAAAGGAAAAACGAACCTGTGGGGTAGGGAATTCGCTACGGTAGTGGGAGGGGGGTATTGAAAGTGCGTGAGGGAGGTTTGGGGGGTGACGGTCAATTCTCCATATCCTGACAGGAGGTTGGGTCACACGGATGTGCGTTTGTTGAAATGCGTCTAAGATAGACTTCAGATCGGTGCATTTCACTGTATGTAAAATAATCAGGTGGGGGAGCAGGGGGGTGACCTGTAAACAAATATTGAACTCCAGCAAATGACATGCAGGCTGACGTAGGAGTGCAGGAGTGAGGCAACTGTCTTTCACATGCATCCAAAAAAATGAGGTGGATCGACAGGGCAACATAAACGTGCGTCGCAAGGCAAGGATAGTAAAATGCTATCCGTGGAATCTAGGTAGTGAATATACAGGTGTCTTCCGGATGTTTGAAGGGTTTCATAATAAAATCCTAAATGAAAATGCAAAGCAAACCAAGTAACCGTCCTGCTGGAAACACGTCAACTGCTTCTTTTTGCACTAGAAATAAAATGCAGTCATTTCCAGGGCCCTGCAAGTGGTCCCTGCTGACCTCTGACTTCATCTCCTACATCCAATCTTTGATGCAACAAATATTTATCGAGCTAACATTTATTTAACACTTGTTCTGTACAAGTACCTGTCCTCGTACCTACTTAATCATGAAATCG